ATCTGTCACTGCCTCCATATCTTCCCCTTCTATTTGCCAGGAGGTGACGGGACCAGTGGCCATGATCTTAGTTTTTTTGATGTTGACCTTCAGACCATTTTTGCACTCTCCTCTTTCACCCTCATTAAGAGGTTCTTTAGTTCCTCCTCATTTTCTGCCATCAGAGTGGTATCATCTGCATATCTGAGAGTTTGTTGATATTTCTTCCGGCAATCTTAATTCCGGTTTGGGATTCATCCAGTCCTGCCTTTCACATGATGTATTCTGCATATAAGTTAAATAAGCAGGGAGACAGTATACAACAGTGATGGCTAACCTTTTTGAGCCCGAGTGCCCAAACGGCGACACAAAGCCAAATTATTACTTTCGAAGTGTCAACACTGCAATTAAATCTGAATATTGATGTTTTTGTTTTGAAAAAACAACTCATACAGTTGTCTGAATTAATCATCACCTTTTGTCTTCAAAACATAACAGAACTTTCAATGATACAAACGCTTTCTTATTGAAAAATAACAATTAACTCCAGTAAATGGAAACAAATATTAAAGTAATATAAGCCAGGTAATTTATACAAACTTTAAAAATGATTATATGCATGTATTTTTTGATAAAGGATACTCAACTTGGCATGTTTTTGCACAATGTGATTTATGATGTATGCATGCTGATAGTTTGTCAAACCTTGGCCCATATGCTGTTAATTTGAGAGCAACACATGCAGCACCCAGACAACCCAGATAGTGTTGTTGCTGACCCTGAGCCAGACATCCTGGAGAGTGAAGTCAAGTGGGCCTTAGAAAGCATGGCTAACAACAAGGCCAGTGGAGGTGATGGCTTTACAGTTGAATTATTTAAAATCTTAAAAAATGACGCTGTTAAGGTGCTACACTCAATATACCAGCAAGTTTGGAAAACTAAGCAGTGGCCAGTGGACTGGAAAAGAGCAGTCTATATCCCAATCCCAAAGGGCAGTGCCAAAGAATGCTCCAACTACCATACAATTGCACTCATTTCACACGCTAGCAAGGTTATGCTCAAAATCCTACAAGGAAGGCTTCAGCAATATGTGGACCGAGAACTCCCAGAAGTACAAGCTGGATTTCGAAGGGGCAGAGGAACTAGAGACCAAATTGGTAACATGCGCTGGATTATAGAGAAAGCCAGAGAGTTCCAGAAAAATATCTACTTCTGCTTCATTGACTACGGGTGCCCCTGCATGGCATAGCCCATAGCTTTTCTGAATTACTCAAGCCGCTTCACCATGACAAGGCAGCAATCTGTGAAAGGGAAGAAGTCCCTAGACATCTCCTTTCAACAAGAGATTTACACACTGGCAAGACATTACAGTAGATCCACTCTGTCCAAGATTTGGCTGATTGCGTGGCTAAGAGCATGGCAGCAAACATCACTCTGTACCAGCATACCTGGTGATGGTCAGCAGGCCTCCCGGAAGAATTCCAAGTCCTGCATTGAGGACCTCCCCTTCAAAAGAGGGCTTTTTCAACACTAAAACTGATGAATTCATTCTGGACCTTCACAAAAAGAAAACAGATATCAAGAAAATGGTCCTACATACATACCGCTCAACACTTCCACCCTCACTCAAAGTGATCTCTCCCATACACCAATTACAAGATCCAAAGCATCAGATCGGTCCACACAACAGCATTTCAACCCTGCCTCCTCCTCTGTACAAACAAAGAACCCTCACCAGGAACGCAGACAGGAAACCAAGGCCACAGTTTTGACATGCCCCAGCCCGAGCTCTACACAGACACATCTCTAGCTCTGCCACCTCTTACCCCTGTGGCTGCAGACATATGCTTGGCACTGTTTATCAACACCTGGGGTGATATCATGAAGGACACGTGGATTCTCAGCATCATCACCCACACATATGCCGTATAGTTTTCCTTTCTTCCACCTACAGGACGTATCGGGCATATTCCACCTTGCCTCATCCTTCTAGAGGAAATCAACACCCTGCTCAGGAAAGGAGCCACATCAAGAGTTCCTCCACATTTCATCTTCGGTGGCTTCTCTGCGCCCTCAACAAATACATCACCCCCAAATGTTTCCGGATGATTACATTACAGTCTCTTCTCTCTGTGCTCCAATTATGGAATTGGTTCTTGTCCATAGATCTCCATGACAAGTATTTTCATATATCAATCCTCTCAGAGTATTGTCAGTTCTTCAGCTTCTTTGTTGATCTCCAAGCCTATCAATGCCATGCACTTCCCTTTAAACTTTCAATTGCTCCAAGGGTCTTTACAGAGTGCATGGCACGGGTGGTGCCCTTTCTCAAAAGTCAGGGTATCACCATGTTCCCTTACATCAACAATTGACTTCTGGTGGCACACAATCAAAGAACTCATCAAGCCAATATTAATTTTGAGTGTCAGGCTACATTGCAAAATCCCACCTTGTCCCATCACAGACTATCCATTAGACAGAGGCACTTCTCAGTACCATTTGTGCACAGGCTTTCCTCCCTCAACTAAGAACACACACTATTATAGATTCTGTCTAAAGACTTATTCGGACTTGATGCACATCGGTTTGCTCTGTCCAACAAGTGTTGCAACTCATGGCATCCACCAGGGCCATTCTGCCCCACTCCAGACTCAGGATTTGCCCACACCAATCTTTTCTACGTACTTGCTTACAATGACAGGTGAGACCCTCCCAACAAAACACTGCCTTTTTCGCCACAGCTCAAACACTAACTCCTCTGGTGGATGCTCAGGCAACGCCTCCAGCGGGGAGCCCCCTTCAACCAGCCACATCCTTCCTGACTCATAGTCACTAATGTGAGCATGACAGGATGGGGAGTGTGCTGTTGCCGCAGAGCACAGCCACAATAATCCACACATGAAAAGACTCTTCACATGAATTTTCTCTGATTCCTGGCCATTTTCAAGGTCTTTCAGGCATTCAAAAACAGGGAGCACGAAGTCTCAACTAAGACTGAGTATAGCAGGGCCATGCTTGCATAGTAGAGGAAGAGAGGTACTTTTGTTTTTGAGGCTCTGGAACTTTCCAAAGTGGTGTTCCTGCAGATGCAAACCCCCTTTAGGTGGATCACCACTTGGAGAACCATAGTGATGGTAAGTAACCAAGTCTTTCAAAATCCTCCTTCACATTACAAGTTCTTAAAGATTCTACAAACTGCAAAAACGCATCCCATTAGAGATTATAATGCAGGCATCCAAACATGCAGCATTTCTACAGAATCTAATTAAGGAGGAAGTATATGTATAATATCTGCATGTAGTCACAGCCACTGATGTTTTAAAAGCCCTAGGTACATCACCAGCTCTGAAGCATTCCTAGAATGTTTGTTACTTTACTCCATACTTTGTTGTTGTTGTTTAGTCATGTCCAACTCTTCGTGACCCAATGGACCAGAGCACGCCAGGCCCTCCTGTCTTTCACTGTCTCCCAGAGTTGGGTTAAATTCATGTTGGTTGCTTCGATGACACTGTCCAACCATATCATCCTCTGTCATCCCCTTCTCCTCCTGCCTTCACACTTTCCCAACATCAGCGTCTTTTCCAGGGAGTCTTCTCTTCTCATGAGATGGCCAAAGTATTGGAGCCTCAGCATCAGGATCTGTCCTTCCAGTGAGCACTCAGGGTTGATTTCCTTTAGAATGGATAGGTTTGTTCTCTTTGCAGTCCAGGGGACTCTCAAGAGTCTCCTCCACCACCACAATTCAAAAGCATCAATTCTTCAGCAGTCAGCCTTGTTTATGTCCAGCTCTCACTTCCATACATCGCTACTGGAAAAACCATAGCTTTGACTATGCGGACCTTTGTCGGCAAGGTTATGTCTCTGCTTTTTAAGATGCTGTCTAGGTTTGCCAAGAAGCAGGCATCTTTTAATTTCGTGGCTCCTGTCACCATCCGTAGTGATCATGGAGCCCAAGAAAGTGAATTCTGTCACTGTCTCCATATCTTCCCCTTCTATTTCCCAGGAGGTGATGGGACTAGTGGCCATGATCTTAGTTTTTTTGTTTGTTTGTTTGTTTGTTTATGTTGAGCTTCAGACCGTTTTTTGCACTCTCCTCTTTCACCCTCATTACAAGGTTCTATAACACCTCCTCGCTTTCTGTCATCAGAGTGGTATATCTGCATATTGGAGGTTGTTGATATTTCTTCCGGCAATCTTAATTCTGGCTTGGGATTCCTCCAGTCCAACCTTTCACATGATGTATTCTGCATATAAGTTAAATAAGCAGGGGGCAATATACAGCCTTGTCGTACTCCTTTCCCAATTTTGAACCAATCAGTGTTTCCATATCGAGTTCTAACTGTTGCTTCCTGTCCCACATATAGGTTTCTCAGGAGGTAGATAAGGTGATCAGGCAGTCCCATTTCTTTAAGGACTTGCCATAATTTGCTGTGGTCCACACAGTCCAAACATAAGGAAAAAGACAGTTTTTTAAAATTTGCTATAAGAAACTAAACACTGCATTCCAAAGGTCAAATTTGAAACATGTTATCTTTACCTTTTAAATGTGTTTATGTAAATATGAAATTTTGACTCAATATGAGCAATTATCTGGTGTTATAAGAACGACTGTGTTTCTAAGAAAATAAAATTACTTTTAAATTTTCAAGCATTATAGCTCTACTGTATGAATAAATCATCTGAAATATATTTTTGTACCATTTTGTTCCAATAACTGAGAGGGAGGTGGGGGGGCTAAATTCATGGATAAAAATGTGGAAGCTTGTATCCCACAAACATCTCCTATGGCAATAAATATAAGAAAATTACCATGAAAATATGTTAATTGCTATTCTGTCATGAAGATGTGTTAATTGTAAGAAAGTGTTAAATACAAATTGTCAAAATATAATCTCAAAATATTCTTAGTATATTCCAGCTGATTTGAAAGAAATGTTGGGTAATATGTAAATATCTTCTACAAATAAACGAATGGCTTAGTTCAGATATTTATTTAACAGCCTTTTTCTTGGTTTTATCAGGAAATGATGTATGTTTGGAATGGCTTTTCCATCGTTGGCAAAAGAACTGATCTCACTGAGAATTTGTTAGTAACAATAGAAAAAGAAGAAACTGCTTTAAAAAATGAAACCAGTAAGTAACAATTAAAATAAAGATGCAGGAGAGTATTTATCATTAATTGTGTTGGAGCATCTAAATATATCTTGAGAAAATGTGCCTGGTTTGATTGTGTGTCTTCTTTCATTCTGTGTTGGCTTTCATTGGAGCTGTATTGTTTAGGGTAAATAGAAATAATCAATAAAACTGACATTTGACAATAGCAACACTTTTATGATGTACCATATTTTTCCATGTATATGATTCCCCCCCCAATGTATACGACTCCCTTAATTTTGTCCCTTGCTGGAAGTAGAGGAGCAGTCAATGGGCAGCTGCGAGGGGCAGCTCCTTCTCAAGCTGCTTTTGCTTCCACTGCCCGATCACGTTCCTGTATTGTCCCCTGCCGGAAGGGAGCCTGCGGGTGGTGCTGCAAGAGGCAATCTGGCGGCGGAGGCAGCAGCAGGAGGAGATGGAGGCAAAGGAGCAGCCACGCTCAGCCACCTCTTGCTGCTGCCCATTGATTGTTGCCACCTCATCCAGCGCCACTCAGAGGTTCCCCTCGGGCAGGGGACAAGGCAACAACGTGAGCTGGAGGTGAGCCCTGGCAGGAGGAGGAGGCGACGATCAGGCGGCGGCGGCAGCAGTCAATCTTTTGCCTCTGCCTCCTTCCATGTATAAAACGACCGTCAATTTTTCCTTTAATCATTTCCTAAAATGATTGTCATTTTATACACTGAAAAATATGGTTCTCACTCTTCTACCTCTCTCCATTTCTTTTTCCATTATTCTGCTCTCACTGCCCACCCCATTGTTTCTCTCTCTCTCTGTCTCTGCATTTGTTGAAAGACACTTATTCCTGTGGTAAAGCTGAAATCCCAGTACAGTGGTGCCTTGCTTGACGAAGATAATTCATTCCGTTCAAATCGCTGTTAAGCGAAATCCTCGTCAAGCGATATGAAAAAGCTCATTGAAATGCATTGAAAACCAGTTCAGTGCATTCCAATGGGCGAAATACCTCAGCGTCCAGCAAAGATCCTCCATAGGGTGGCCATTTTCCAGTGCTTGTAATGCGAGGAATCTGTCCTAAAGCACAGTGGGGGGCCATTTTGCATAACAGGTAGCCATTTTTAAACCTGACGATCAGCTGTTTTTTGTTGTTAAGCGAAAAATCGGTTCCCAAAGCAGGGAAAAAAACCCCATTGAATCATCATTTAGCGATCGCAATAGCGATCGCAACAAAATAATCGTCAAGCGATTTCCTTGTCTAACAAGGTAAACATCAAGTGAGGCACCACTGTATACTGTCTTGCCCAGAAATAACCTCTGTTCATCTTATTGAGACTTCTTAGTTTCCTGAAGTTATGGCAATGGCTGCAAAATACTTCAGTCAGGATGTCCACCTTGATTTTTTTGAAAAATCCCTATGTAAAATAATCGTCTTTAAGATCTTGTTTCTTCTAAACTACAAAACATACAAGCTCAATGTTTAAAAGAAACTATAGCAGAGGTGGGTTTTTTGTTTGTTTTGTTTGTGTGTGTGTTTGAGTTTTATGTTTTTTATTTGTTTCGAGGAAGATTGGTAGGAATTTGCAAAATAACTATCAATTTCACTATGAACCAACAGAAAATGGTAACAAAATGTTTGAGGGAGAAAAGTATGTCTATTGAAATCAGAAATCAGATTTTTAAACGTACCTGACCAAAGGACTTCTCCAAATTTAGTGTAGAGAAGCCTATACTATCTACAATTACTTTGTCCTGACTCAGGAGCATGTTCAAGTTATAACTTTTTGTTTGGACTGTCCTCTCCTATCAGAAATGGCATACGAAAAGTTGCTTTGACCAGTCACATAATATCAGAGGTCCATTCCAGTGTACTTCTAATATGTGGAGCTGCCATTTTCTCATATTAACAGTTTTAACCAGCAGTCAGAATTAAGTGCAAGTGATAGTTGAACATATGGGACAAATAATTTACACTCATTCAGAATAAACATTTTATTTATTCAGTTGTTTTCAGGGGCAGCCTGTGGTCTGAATCAGTTTGAGGTACCTTTCCTACTCAGGGCACTAAACACTGGTGATTGCTTTTGATAAGAACGAATAGCTGATTATATTATATATTTCTGAAGATGTAATGTTCACTGTTGGCATTTGATATTTCTTGCAGATAATGCAGTAGTCATTTTGACTTCCAGCATTATTTTATTTTTACTTGTAATGTGATGCTTCTTTATTTTAAGGTCATAATGAATACTACATGGATGACTTCTGTCTACTCCAGTTGCTAAAAGGACTGTGTTTGAAACATTTAGGAAGACTCTTGCAAGCAGAGCTCTGCTTCAATCAAGTTATTCAAAGGTAAAAATGGGAAGCGGCATTTGGGGGACAGTGGAATTCTGTAACATCAGCAAGTGTCAAAGAACATTCCCTTCTCACCGTTTTAGTACCTAAATCTGAGGCGTCTGGGTTTTGTGTCCACACCTTGGTACATAGTTGCTAAAGAGACAAGACTGACTCTTCCTTTTCATGGATCCATACAAACCCTATTTCAGTATTAGTCGGTTTAGTGGTAGCTGAGAGGTTCAACAGCAAGAAAACAAGAGTTTCCTATCACATTTCCTCAGCTTGTCTGAACAGAAATTTTGTGTCTATCTTAGGATCATAGCAAGGTAATTTGAGAGAGGTGGATTCTTAACTCTTCTGTTCTTTCAGTGTTCTTGAGCCAGGATGTTAATTACAGCCTGGCATACAAATTAAACTTTTGAAGCTTTTTCTTGGCATAAAGAAAAATTGACTAAAAAAAGCTTCACCTGCTTAGCCTATGTGTCATGAAGCCAGTAAATGGCAGAACGTCTTCATCTTTATTTGCCCATGTTTACGGTCATGTTTATAGTCAGTGATAAACTTCTTGCGAACATGGATTTAATTCTAGAAAGTTCATGTGTGTAAAAATGAGCTTAGGGTCCTATTCGGTAAATAGTTTTTGATTGGTAAAATGCAAATATATGTAGAACTTAAGCAAACTGTCTTTTTTATTTAATACACCAGAATGACATAATGTTATTTCATTTCTTAGTGAGAAGCAATTGAAATATGATAATTACCTAGTTCCATATACCATGTATGAGTTGGGGCTTCTGTACAAACAACAGGGTGAAAGAGAAAAAGCAATAAGATTCATAGAAGCTGCAAAGTAAGTGATGATTATCTTTATACAGCTACAGTTTATCAAAACAACAGAGTACTTGCTTAATTATGGTGAATATATTGGCAAAATTTAGTATAATTTTCTCTTTCCATTATTCTGCTGTATGGGAAAAAAGAATGGAAAATTGGTAGTGCTGATGAGCAGCTGTTCAGCTTGCTTCTTGTTGTCTTTTGCAGAAACAATTATAAGGAATATTCCATGGAATCCAGGTTACACTTCCGAATTCATGCAGCGCTGAACAGTATGAAAGTGACTCCTGCCCCAACGCCTTGATGTCTTTGGAGGGAGATGTGCTAATAGAAGCATCTACAAGTTATTCTTTGAAAGTTGCAAAAATCATGTAAATTATGTAACAAAAGAGATGTAGTTTATATTTTCTATCATTTGTGATATCTGAATGTTTGTCATCCTTTTGACCAGTTCTTTTTTATATGGTGCACTTCCATATCTCTGCTTGATCATTTAGAGGAAGACCTTATTTTTTGTTTATAAAAGGATCAGTTTCATGGTAGGCATGAAAGGGAAATATTTTTTAAAAAATTGCTGGTGCAATAAAGAGTAGTTGAAACATTTATTTTTTTATGAGGGGACTACTGTTATTAATGCATGAAACTATATGATAATTTTGTTTATAGTTTCGTCATTCAAAGAAAGCTTGAATTTCTGTGATACCTTTGTTATGAATTAGGACTAAAAAAAGTTGGCTGCCGGTAGCCTTAGTTGTGTCATTTCTGCATCTTATAGGTTTACATACCAAAGATCTTATTTATCATATAGTAGTCAGAAAGAATGAATAGGATAAAGTCATTTCACGAATGTTGGCTTAAATTTGTGCAATATTTTAACAGTGGCCAAAATCCTCTATGTGTTTTCATAAGGTTTCCATAATTTGCTGTCGCTAATGGCTGAGGCTGCATATCTCAGTTACATGTCTAGTCATGTGCCAGATTGTGCAACAGAGGTGTACTCTAACACTTGTCAGTCCACTGCAATTAGCTGCAGCAGGTCACACCTACCTTACATGAACAACAGTAGAATTCTGGCTAATATATTTCTGACCAAAATGAAAGACTTTTTTGGGTTGCCCTCTAAAGCCGTTTTTAATACATGGAGGACGTATTTCTCAATTTTGTAGCATTAGAACTAAAAAGAGAAAGAGATTCTGAATCAGAGTAGCAATACATATGTTTTTCCTGCTCTACATGTTTATTAATTGATGTTGCTGGGGTGAACAGTATCTCAGGCAAATACGTATCTAGTGTCCTGAGGATACTTAAGGACCTTTCAGTTCCTGCCACCAAACTTCAGTAGGTTTGAAACTTATCCTATTTATATATTTTATGAAGATATCTTCAAATTCCAGTTTCATTGTGAATGTTAATAAAGAAAATTTGCACCCATAACATTTGATATTAATGCAGCTATTCTATATAAATAAAATAATAGCTGAAATTCTGTTGCTTTAACATATGAAGTGATTTTTCAGACATTAAACATTTCCAGTCCCCCCACTGAAGATCTGGAGCTCCTTTGGGATCCCTTTCATCACATGAAAGCCTCTGGGAGCCTCAAAATGTAGGAGGAGTCTTTAATTTCCCAGAATTGCTTCTTCTAGTGAAATCACCCTGCTGGCTGCAATTTTCAGAAATTAAAAATCACCGCTTGTCCCACAGCCGCCAGTGGTTTCCACAATTATGAAAGGGACCCCAAAGGAGCAAAGGGACCTTCATGGATGATTAGAAATGTTTAATTCCTTAAAAATAACCACAGCTGATGGCACCATCAGCCTTTTGCACTGTATGTTGCGTACCAGGATTTCAGCCATTGTATGCTGTGGAACTCGCAGACAGATGCACATTTCTGAGGGCATGTGAGATGTGAGAATAAGCCAGAACATGCCACATGAACCCTATTTAAAATTTGCACACTCATGCACATTTCCCATTTCCTGTTATTGCAAGAAAGAACACCTGAACAAACAGTAGGCTTTTCATCCTTGATTTATTGATACATGTGAACTGAGAACTCTGGCATCTCCCCACAAGCCAAAGTCAAAAGCCAAGAAGAAACCACAAGCAGAATTCTATTGGGACCTTATTGCAGAGCAAGTGAAATCACATAAGTTGTGGCAATAAATTGTGGCTAATTAAGTAAGTCCAATTCACCACCACAAAATCCCAGCAGAAGACTTGTCCATGACGTACAACTCTGATTTGTCCAGCAAAAGGCAATCCACACACATCATGATTGTTAAGCCACAGGTGGAAGATTCATTATTCGTTTAGCTGATCCCACTTGTAAGACATGTCCAAGGAGAGCCATCAAGCAGTGTCTACTGATAGTGGATAGGTCAAATCAAGCCAAAATTATTTAGCATTCTGGCATATTGCAACATGCAAATTCATTTGTCCAAGGTCATTCTCTTTCTCCAATATAGGGGAAACACAGCAGAAGGCAAGAACTTCTTTTATTATAAGGACCAAATGTATCCATTGTGAATGTTGACACGTTCCATACAATGCTGCATATTTAGAATAGCTAGTGCTATTATACACTCACAATGATAGTGTTTCCCTTGCCATTAGGTGCTACTTATTTGGAATTATGAGCTCCAGAATTAGTGGTAAAGTGGGATGCTCTATTCTGAAATATAACAATTCAAATATAATTTATTGTCACAATTGTTCAAATTCATATTGCATAGATTGTACATGTTCATAAACAGCAGTACTAGGTATAAAATTTTATTCTAGATTACTTAGTACAGGTTTGCAAGCTTTAATAAATGGGTCTTCTCATAACAGATCATTGAAAGCAATGGTTTCTTTTTGGTTTTGGTTTTGTGTATTTCAGTCTATACTAGTTTCCCCCATAAATTCCTTTTCAGCTTTTAATGGAAAGCACATACAGGGTCACTGGTAAATTCTGGCACATGCAGCTTTTTACTTTTCATTCCATGTAGCATCCTAAACAATTATTTCAGATCCAGTGTGGAGCTTACAAATAGACAGGTTTGATTTTTTTAAGAAGACCTGTTTTGTCTGCTACCTGATGACGGTTTTAGTTTCTTGAATACCCAGGTCACACAAGTACTCAAAAATATCACAAATTAATTTTAAAATAATGTGCCAAGAGTTTCATGTACAGAGATCCTCAATGTCACTTTTTTTAAAAAATATTCTGTTAGACAAGAACAGATAAACATATGCAGAGTCACTGCTAGATTTACATAGTTGTGATGTTAAATATAGGGATGCAATTGTTTACTGTGCTTATGCCAATCTTGCTGCTGTTATAATTTTACATTGATGTTATTCCATCAGTTTTATGCTTCTGCTTTATATTTAAATATTTATTCTTTTAGTGATGTGTTCTTTAAAGATACATTTATGCCCTCTATTGTGCTTATAATAATGGGCAATGGCTTTTAGCTTCTAACTGAGGTGTTAATGGGAAATGATACATGTTTTAAAGGGATATTACTGAAGGATCTCATTCATCTAAATTATAGTGGTTATGGGTGCCAGCTGTCTTGTATCTTTATCAAGACTAGAAAATAATATGGCAAATAGATTTAGAACATTTTGCTAATTGCAATATAATGACAAACAGTCATCTCCTATATCAGAAAAATGATAGTGACCTGAAATCTGGTTTAAATACTCAATTGTGAATGTTGCTTTTGTCTTTTTACTGCCTGGTACAAATCAGTGGCATTTATATTAGCTATTTTTGTGGTCCTGATTACAAAGTTATTTAAGGAGGCTCACTTTACCACTGGTATACTAAACAAAAAAGTTAAAAAGGCTAGTAGTCTGATCTAGTGATACTTGATTGGAAGCAAATCTGAATTTGCTTAGTGGAGCATGTAACTGTGCATAGGATTGCAGCTTTAGGATGCTGATTGCACTGAGAGCAAACTACATACTCTTCTGTAACAGAGCAGAATTTGGACAAAGATGATATCCATATCTTGGTGTGAGTTTTGTCACAGATTTCTGTTACCTTGCCTTTTTTATGACAGAAAGGACAACAAAATAAAGATGTGCATTTAAAGAAGTGTTGAGTAGTAATGTCTTCACCAACTAAGGAACACGTCCTTGAGTTGTCAAAAGAATGTGTAAAACTAGATTAGTAGATAAGCTCTTCCAGAATTTATATTCATGAATGCCTTCACGGCGGGGATCTCATGGTTGTTGTGGGTTTTTCGGGCTTTTTGGCCATGTTCTGAAGGTTGTTCTTCCTAACGTTTTGCCAGTCTCTGTGGCCGGCATCTTCAGAGGACAGGAGTTAGAACTCTGTGCTCTGGTGCAGTTTGTTTGGGAGTTGAGTATTTATAGCTGTGGGATCAGCTTTTTTTTCAGGAGATGGGTGTTTATGCCGATCAGTGTGTTTTTGTTGTGGGTGTATTGCTGTGATAAGGAGGAGAGATCATCTCTCACTGTGATTGATGGGTGTCATTAGCTGGTCTTTTGTGTGTAGTGATCACCGGTCCTTGTGGCTGGGTAGAGTTCGTTGACCTTTTGCAGGCTGTATTTTTCAGTTCTGGGAGCCAAGTTTTATTGAGTTTTAAACTTTCTTCTTTTTTGTTGAAGCTCTGCTGGCCTAAAACAAGCTGGACATGAAATTCTATTTTTAAATACTGAAATACTGGACAACACCAGCAATCATTATGTTATACTGCACAGGAAACCCATTGAAATCCACAAACACCAGCCGAGCTTCAACAAAAAAGAAGAAAGTTTAAAGCTCAACAAAGCTTGGCCCCCAGCACTGAAAAATACAGCCTGCAAAAGGTCAATGAACTCTTACCCAGCCACAAGGACCGCTGATCACTACACACAAAAGACCAGCTAACAACATCCATCAATCACAGTAACAGCAATATTTATCACAGCAATACACCCACAACAAAATCACACTGATCACGATAATCACCCATCTCCTGAAAAGGGCAAAAGCTGATCCCACAGCTATAAATACTCAACTCCCAAACAAACTGCACCAGAGCACAGAGTGTCACTTCTGTCCTCTGAAGATGCCGGCCACAGAGACTGGCAAAACATTAGGAAAAACAACCTTCAGAACACGGCCACAAAGCCCAAAAAACCCACAACAATCATCTTCCAGAACTGTTTTTAAAAATGCAGCGAGACCTTCACACATGGCTCCTTCCCAAACGTAGATGTATATATGCTGTAATCTGTGGGCCATAGAACATCTATGAAATAAATGTATCATTAGAGTCAGTAGTTTCAATCTACTAATATAACTTTTTGTTCCTAATACTACGTATGTCTGGTGATTATTATTAAGACAGAACTCCTAGTTGAGTATGAAAAACTGATCTCTCCTCTGTATTGTTTCTTAGTATCCTCTTTTTTCTATATAGAAGAGATGTGTGGATCATGTGACATACTCTAGAATTTTGTTTATTTCTTATCCGACATGCTCACATGTATTGTCAAACTTTTTAAACATTTATATGCTATCCCACATACACATGCCCATCAGCTGGATAGAATTTTTGCTCAGTGGCATCAGTTTGGTTCCAGTGGTGTTCTATTGGGAAGGAAATACCTGTGGTGCTTGTTACGAGGTGGGAAGAAAGGAGGCAACAGAAAATTTGAGTCTTGCACTCTTAGCCCCAGCGAGGTAGCCGTGATTAGAGAGGAAAGATCAGCTGGTGCTGAACTAATCTGACTTCGTCAACTTGGAAACTCACCCTCCACTTTACCAGACAAGGTTCTCCAAGCAGGAGCATGTGTTCTTGACTTTTTATGTCTGAAATTTTAAAAGTCCTTTTTCATGAAAGAGAACCTTCTCTTGAAGATACCTATATAAACAGTCCTCGCATGCTGGTGAGAAGGAACAAGATCCCACCGATCTGTACAGTGGTTGTATGTTCACACGTAAGAGCGCTGTGCGCCTAGAGCTGCATGCAAGGAGGAATCCTGGGTCTCTGGCAATCTCCCCCTTTTGTGTGGGAGAATTCTCCGGTCATTTTTCGCCATGGATATAAGGCCTTTTTTCACATGCATTGGCAAAGTACATACAGTGGTGCCCCGCATAGCGAGGTTAATCCGTTCCGGATTAATCCTCGCTATGCGAAATCGTCGCTAAACGGGTAGGGGAAATGTATTGAAACGCATTAAACTTCGTTTAATGCGTTCCAATACCTTTGTTACTTACCCGTTCAGCGAGGATTCCAAGTGCCGGCAGCCATTTTCGCGCCTTCGCTAAGCGAGGGCAGGGCGCGAAAACGGCTGCCGGCAGCCATTTCCGGGCTTCCGGCGGCCATTTTGGAACCGCCGATCAGCTGTTCGGCGGCTCCAAAATGGCCGCCACAATACCCGATCTTCGCAATGCGGGTTTTCCCCATTGCGACGATCGGGGATGTTTCCGTATAGCGATCCCGAAAAAGGGATCGCTATACGGAAACATCGCTATACGGTGCACTCGTTAAGCGAGGCACCACTGTATCAGTAAACATGTGCAACAACACCCCAGAATCTTCCACAGTTGTGCAAAATCCTTGGGCTTAAAAATATAAATGAAATCCATGTTTGATTTCAAAGTAGTTTCAGACTTGGCATAGCATGGTAGAAGGTTCATTTTCAAAGAAAACAAGTTAAAACACTTCTGGATGTATACAAGCCTCGTTTATGTCTGAAGCACCTGTCGGGGTTTTGGCTTCTATATTATATTTTATGCCTTTCTTTTTCTTTTTTAGATTTTATTATATTTAGCCATATTTATGTTAGCGTAATTCCAATAGTATAAAATTCAGCAGTGAACTGCCACAAGTTAAGAAGTGAGCATAGCCATGGAGTCACACAACTGGCGCATGATAGCAAAAGCCTACCCTGCCTTCTAATCTTGTCATGATTCACTGCTGAAATTTGTAGTGATAAAGTTAATGCTGGCAAGCGTAACTGACTGAATTCGGTGCTGGACCTATTTTTATGTACCATACTGCTTTTTCTACCATTAAGTTGGTTTCACCCCTAAACTACTTCCATATAAGAACGCTTCATAATTTTTTGTTCTTTGTAGTCCCTGCTTTGCTGATACTTGGTGCTGCATTTAAATATATTTCTGTATTTCTCTCTTTCTCTGAACAGAAGCAGCTAGAACTGTACTATATGGACTCTTCTGTACTTGTAAGCTATACTTGTTATTACCATTCCTAAGAAATAAAGGCACATGTGCTTTCCTTGTACCTTTGAATGTATGTATCTCATTCTTAATCACAGCTCTTCAACTCATCTGCAATTTGTGTAGTTTATTCAATTTGCCTCTTTCTAAATATAATTTAAAGTGAACCTACAAGGAGCTGTAAAGAACCCGTTTCCATAGACATTATTCACATTTATTGTCTTGGTCTTGGGAGGATTTGATGTAACCCTGAGAACATATTTCATCCATATTGAGGTTTGCCATATGGTTTTAGCAAGCTTAACCACTTCCTACTGATTTTTGTGTTTATTCTTGAATCTTGAGTAGTGCTTTGTGTGTTTTCCCTCAGGAGATGGCAGTGTTTACAAAGTGAAGCTGCTGTTGATGGCTTTCTCCTAACCTTCACAAGTATGGATAGAAAAGTAATTAATTGAGTATTGTATTTACCTACATACATACTGTGTTTCCCCAAAAATAAGACAAGGTCTTATATAAATTTTTACTCCAAAAATGCAGTAGGGCTTATTTTCAGGGGAAGTTTTTTTTCATATACAATGATCTACATTTATTCAAATACAGTAATGTCATCTTCTGGTTGCTGCACAATGGTGGAGGGCGGGGATTCACTTAACTAGGGCTTATTTTGGGGGTAGGGCTTATATTAAGAGCATCCTGAACAATCATACTAGCGCTTATTTTCAGGTTAGGTCTTATTTTCAGGGAAACAGGGTACTGTTCTGTGACCTCCAGAGATAAACAATTGGCTTTAAAATTGTGCATGTTTCTGACACAATATATTTTGCATTCCAAATAAATAAAGGCATGTGATATCGTTAAAATGCATATACAGTGGTGCCTCGCATTACGACGTTAATTCGTTCCAGCGAAATCGCTGTAGAACGAAAATGTCATAATGCGAACATAAAAAGCCCATTGAAACACATTGAAACCCCTTCAATGCGTTCCAGTGGGCTGGAAACTCACCATCCAGTGAAGATCCTCCATAGGGCGGCCATTTTCGGTGCCTGTGCAGTGAGGAATCCATCCCAGAAAACAGCGGGGAGCCATTTTATTTACCTGGTGGCCATTTTGAAAGCACCAATCAGCTGTTCTAAAACCGTCGTTTTGCAAAGAATCGGTTCCCGAAGCAGGGAACCGATCATCGCAAAGCGAAAAACCCCTATTCAGACCATCGTTTTGCATTGCAAAAATCTTGTAATGCGGTTTCGTCTTAATGCGGGGTAATCATAAAGCACGGCATGACTGTATTTGATCAACAGGAAAAAAGCATACAGAATATGTGTATTTGTCATCTGCCACTTTAGCAATTTTTTAAAAATGTATACTTTTGAGGAAAAAAATAAGGACAGAAATATTCCTGAATTTATGAAAAGAAATAAGTTTCACAATGTGGTGCAGAACTCAGATGGGTCAAGGGAGCTGGTAGGTCTCTGACAAGTGAAGCAAAAATGAGACAAACTTTTTTAACAGCTTCATTTGCACGTACAGTCTTACTGATATATGCTTATTATTCCATAACTTAGTCTCATGTGCTAATCTGTACAACAATTTCCCCTTTGCGTTATGTCAAGAGAATTGTCACTTGGAAAGTAGAAGAAAAGAGAGGTTACCTACCTGTAACTCTGGCTCTTTGAGTGGTCATCTGTGAATGTACACAAATGGGTTAAGTCTGTGCTTGCAAAGGACTCCTCAGAACTTTCTAGAGCTTTTAGTCATGTGTTTGCTAGGACGTTCCCCTATAGCAGTGATGGGGAAACCTTTTGAGCCTGAGTGCCCAAACTGCAACACAAAAACAACTTATTTATTCCAAAGTGCCAACACTAATAAAACCTGAATATTGAGGCACTATCACTATCTCTGAGGCAAAAATGATGAAACCGAGTGTCATGTTCCCCAGTGTCTCCTGTTTGTGTTCCCTCAAACACAGGCCCATCTTCGGATATGATGTATTATTTTCTCCCTTTTACACGCTGCCACCAGTGGATCTTTATCCACACTGTACCAAATATGTTTCTTAGACCCGGGCTGCTAAATAT